TCAGCAGGTCCTCACTGAGGGACAGTATTTTGACGTTCAAGCTTTAGTTTGGAGTTGGGATTAGAATTAGGGTCAGATTAAAGATAGGGTTAGGATTAGGATTATTCCTATATTTTTAGTACAGGAACAGGAAGTACATGACGTGAGTAACTGGGGGAAAAAAACAGTTTTTTTCAACCTTAAAAAACTCAATTATTCTGTAAACTAAAAAATAAAGTAAATGAATGAATTATGGATTAAAATCTGGACCTGCGGAGATGAAAGCTATCAGCTGATTACGTGGTTAATGTAACACATCGCCTCCCGTGTTGAAGAGGACGAGAGAAAATGAAAGACAAGCCTCAGGCACTTCATTCTCCTCCTTCGTCTCTTTCACATGTTACTGAGTCAAACCTCCTCCTCCTCCTCCTCCTCCTCATTTATCTTCCTCTCAGGCTTTACTCTGTGCTTTGATCAGTGGAGGAGCCTCTGATGTCATCTGTATTTTCAAAGATGTTTCTTCTACGATGGAGACCTCACCGAGGAGATCAACGAGTCCTCCTCCTCCAACAGGTACGGACAAATGAAACATTAACTTTTTTTTTTTTATACTATAATCTGGCTTGTACGTCTCCTTCTCTGGTCTCTAGGTGGTGCTAAGTATACATTTTTTTAGCCCTGTTCAATGAATTGTGTAGCAGCAGCATGTTAGCACTATGCTAGCACGTAAATGTGCCAGATGGGTTCCATTATTGCTGTAGCTTTACACAATGCATTAGAGCGCCACCTCTAGGGAGTGGACGGGAATCTAGACCTGGTACATTTACAAATGCAGAATATCAAATTAAATATTACAATTACAATATTTTTTATTATTTATAATAATATTAATTAATAATATTTATGATTAATTATTACTAAAAGTAATATTTTTTTTAAATTTATTTTCCTTATTTTCCTTTTCCCAAACTTTTATCTTTTGTTGCCTCCACAGTTGAAAATCAACATCCAAGATGGAAGGAAAAGTGACTTTTTACAAGTGTAAAAGAAATAAAAAAAAGGAGAAGAAAAACGTCACATGTCATGATCTCATACAAACTGTGTGTGTGTGTTTGTTTGTACACACACACAGACACACACACACACACACACACTGTTATCTCTTGCTGCTCTGTGAGCGTCTCCTCAGAGGCTGTGTGTCTCTTCTTCATAGGCTGCCGGCCAAGCGAGCAGTGTTTATATACCAGCAAATGGGACTGTGATGTGTTTGAGGACCGGGGGAGACGGGATTACGAACCGATAAGAAGACGACACACGCACACACACACACACACACACGTGGATACTCACACAAAACGAACACAAAAGACGAGGAAAAAAAAAAAGATGAAAATGTCAACAGTGAGTTTGTAGAGAAAGTGAAGCTTTAGATTGCTAACAAAAGACGTCAGAAAAGCACCAAGAAAAGAAACGTTTATTTTTCCGATGTACGTTGATATTAGCTATGTTAGAAAAATGACGTATTTAAGGTACAATGCTAAAACATGGGGCAAAGGCGAAAGAAAATAGGTGAACGGAAACTCTGGCAAAATAAATATGACTTTGGTAAATGATGTATTTTTAGCTAAGTTAGCAAAAACGTTGCTAAAGGTTAGCCAAGAACATCGCGAAAACCACGCTCCAATTCACCAATGGTTCCAGAACAGAAATCTCTGAAGTAGCCGGTGACGTCAAACCATGAAACAGGAAGAAAAAATAAAAGATAGAAATGGAGTGGAGAGACAGAAAACGCCTCCTGTTGGTCATCAAACTCATTACAGTTCATCTGCAACACCGATGATTAGTCAGCCCCCCCCCCTGCCCAGCCTCCACCCGTGTCCTCCGTCAGGTCTAATAATGATTTATTATCTCCACTCAATAATATTATGTAAAGTGTTTTTTTTTCTTCATCTCTTGGATCAAAGTTTCCCTGAAAAAGAAGATGCTTTATTTATATTTATTATATTGGACGTCAGACTAACGAGACACGACTTCAGTGCAGATTTGACAGCTGTGAAATATTGTCTTTGTGCCTCAGTGTGTGTGTCAGGACTTGTGCTGACACGCTTCAGTGGACCTGTCAGCCTGTGTGTGTGTGTGTGTGTGTGTGTGTGTGTGTCAGGTCTCACTATAAAAATGTGGACACTAATAGATGCAATGCAATTCTTCACTCAAATCAGAGGTGTCGTACAGGAGGACCGTCACCCCTAGAGGTAGGTAGAGGTAGTGCAGGAGTTCAGTAACATTTTGGTTAATTTGGTTATCAAACTGTCCATTTAAACAAAAATGCGTAGCGACAAAATAACCAATGTTATATATATATTGTTTAATACTATATATATATATATGGCATAGTGGACGTCCCTGTTCTGCCCAAGTGGCACTACTGGAGCCAGAAGACCCTCCAGATGACTGTACATAAGGCAATGATTAAGATTTTTGTCGCTATCTAATTAGCAAGATAGGAAACGCCATAATAAACAGGAAGTGTTCATATCCAGCCATGTAAATAATCTGAATAATCTGTGGATTAGGATTTAAATCAGATTGATTTCACAGCTAGCGTGTTATATTTTTTGTCCATTTCTCATGAAGCTGAGACATTGATAACACTGGGCCAAACTGAAAAAAACCATGTGACTGAAGGTTTACGTAAATTCTAAATAAAATATAAAGACAACATGACACACACTTGTCATATTTAACAAATGCCAGCGAAAAGACCGAGGACATTTGGCGTTCGCTCTTATTTAGCTGTTTAATAACAACAATTGTACCGAGCGCTGCATGAGTCAGTCAATTTATGAAGGACAAAAGAATCGGTTATTTAACTATTCACTCAAACGAGCAGTCGTCATGAAGTCATTGTTGCTCTGAATGCAGGGTTGGAGAAAAAAAACAAAACAACAAATAACTCTTTGTGCGCCGCTTCAATTGACAGGCAGAAAATGACAGATCCATAAAGATAAAGGATGAAAATGTGCGATTGTTCTTTCCTGGCATCTTTGTTGATTGTTCCGATGCGTTTTGTTAGCACAGACGCTACAGACGCAGACGGTCGATCTGCAGCTCAAAGAAATATCCTCACAAATGTTTGGACCGAGGTAAGGCCAAATGGAACACTTCAGCTGCAGTACATCACCCGTACAGCAGGTGGACAAACACAAATGCACATGTGTGTGCAATAAACGTCCCCACAAAGACAAAGTGTCCCCACAACAAAATAATTGTAAATTTCTGTCTCAAAATGGAATCCCCACAAGTATAGCTATACCAGGTTTTCTCTCTCTCTCTCTCTCTCTCTCCGACACACACACCCACACACACAGAGCGGTGGAGGAGTGGTGCAGGTGATGAACAGCTCAGGGTGGTCTCAGTAATTATAATCCAGTGGAGTGTGCAGCGCTCCAACATCAATCTTTTTCTCTTTTCTTTCCTTCATTTTTTTCCCTCACACTCTACGCCGACGACCTCTCCGTCTCTATCCCCCCCGTCTTTCCCTTCATTTCATTTCCATTGAT